TCGGATTAATACAAACATTTTATAAAAATTATAAATATTCAAAATTTGGACGCTTTGTGGGTGAGGTACTTGATGGAGTGGACCGATATTGTCCATTTTCGCATCTGACCTAGCACTGATGCAAATATTAAGATTTGCAAAGTTGGAGAAAAATCGAATTATCCTTTCTCTCCTTCTGAGCAGAAAAAAAAATTTCGATATTTCGTGGGGAGGTACTAGAAGGAGTGGACCGATATTGCCCATCTCCGAACTCGATCTAAGTTTGATAATAATATTACGATGTAGCAAGTATGGAATAACTTGGATACTCCCTTCGAGAGTTATCGTGAGCACCAGGCAGACGGACAGCGCTAGATCGACTCCAAATGTCCTGAAACGGATTTGGTGCAAAGAGATCTAGAATATAAAACCGTTATTTCGACTAAGCACGTTTGAACCACATTAAATGATATATATACCCTCTCTAGCCATATGGCTGAGGTTATAAAAATCGAACATTTACCTCCAATTTTATGCGAAATTATTAATTCCATATCAGGTTGAGAGAAATATTTAGATATAACAAGTTGTAAGGGATATCTGACTACCTGAGTTTTATGAGCTTCATGGATATTCAAAATTGTGACCCTTTGGGTCTAAAAACGTTATTTCGATGAAACACGTTTTGGCCACATCAAATGATATATACTAGCCATAGCCATATGACTGAGGGTATAAAAATTGCCATATAGAGCAAGCAAATGTTCCATAACAAGCATTCCATGTTTTCCCTCGAAAAATCCCATTTTATGTAAACATCCGTTTTTTTAACAATGATGAAATGTTCCGGTTAGAAGCAATTGTTCCGAAAAAAAAAACAATTGTTGTCTGGTCGCCACATGTTTGCTGCCATCGAAGGAGTAACAATTTTTCAAAATAAAACAATCGTTCTATTTACGTTTTACAATTCGGAATTTAAAAATAACAATATTTCTCTGAAGTTCTAGTACAAATCTCTGATGCATCTGGCTGCAGGTTGTGTCTTTCTGGTTGGGGGGAAAATGTGAAATGAATCTTCCATAAATTGAAATTGGAGTCCAACGTCAAGAGTACCGCTATCTTTGTTTTATTGTATCGTTTACATCACACACACACATACATGCATAGGCAATGTGTTAAATTTAGCATATGGACGGATGGACGGACGGACAGCCTGGCAAATGGGCGAGTTACAACTGTACACAAAGTACACACATGCCATGCCATTGCGTTGCCGCTCACAACAAGACCAGCGGTGAGTCCTCCCTCCCTACACGGCGCAAGTGCAGCGACCTTTTCGTGCGATGCTCCAAGTCCATGGTGTTCTGTCATCAGCAAATCTGTTGTAAATTGTACGTCTTTGTCTCTACATCTCGGCTAGATTCATTAGCATGTGTTAAATGACTATCTATTGGGGTAACTGCCTGGATAGCAGGCTGGCTGGCTGGCTGGCTGGCTGGCTGGCTGGCTGGCTGACTGTTTGGCTATCTGACAAGCTGCATTTCATTGGCTGTTTTGTTTTGTGTGCCCATTGAAAAGTGACGACTCGACACTCTCTATTTTTAGACCATCTCTGCTGTAAATTCTTCCACTTCTGCAGAAGGTATTGTTTATTTTTGAAAAAAGAGAAAAAAATAACCTAACGGACCAATTGGAGAACTGGAGTTTGTTTTCATCGATGCTAGCAGATGATGGATGCATTTTGCTCTTGTATAGCTTCTCAATTTCTATGGTTTATTGCTAGCCATGCTGGGCCGCACACATACCCACTGTTTGTGCACTTGACTTTTGTCCACGCTGGAGACCGAACCAACAAGAAATAAATGAATAATGCCTTAAATATTGAAATTTCTTTGTTGTTTTAGAAAGAAAACGCCTTTTGTGGGGCATGGCTGTAGCAATAAATAAAATAATTAAAAAACGAGTTAAAAAGTATCAGTCGAATTTGCCGACATATGTATACCCTCAGCCAATGTTCGATTATTTAAATGTATTTTGACTTCTGTTATGATTATTCAAATTTTTGACCCTTTACGGAGCAGGTTCCGAAGGAATCAGCCAATATTGTGAATTTCGTATAGGACCTAAACGCTAGGTTTTTACTACTTCGACTACTACCTTCACTTTAAATGAGATATGTGATTATTTTTAGAAAATGTTAAAATGTGCGGGGGGTTCCAGATATAGTCGACCGAAGTATTGCATTTTCATACTTCATTTAATACAGATTAAAATATTGGTATGGGCAAAATTACAAGAAAATCGAACATTTATGCGAAATTAAAAATTCCGATTAATTCCATATTCATCTTAGGTTACTGGTTGAGAGAAGATACAGCAACTTGTTTCGCATGTTATGACAGATAAAAGTATTGGACAATTGTGACCCTTTGTGAGTGAGTTACTAGAAGGGGTTCGCAGATGTATATCATCTTCAGATCATGTGTTAGCAAAAATGTTGGTATGTGTGAAATTTGAAGAGAGTTGAACCCTATGTGAGGAAGATACAAGAAGAAATGGTCCGATCTCTACCATATTTATAACAGATACTTTGTGGATGGAAATAGTGAGATATACCAAGTCTGAATGGAATCAGATGTTAATTCCGCGGAGGAGGACATGATGGAGTAGACCAATATTAACCATTTTCGGACTTGACCTACCACTGATGCAAATATTTGTATTAGAAGGAGTGTACCGATGTACCCCATCTTCACAGCAGATCTTGTGTTAGTAGAAATAATGGGATATATGAAATATGAAGGGAACAGGGTGCTTATTTCGGGGTTTTTAAATCGTTTTGGTTATTCGAAACGTTGATCCTTTGTGGGGGAGGTACCCAAAGGAATGGTCCGATCACTACCATCTTCATAAGAGAAAATATTGAGATCTACAAAATCTGAAGGGAATAGGATGTTAATTTCGCGTTTTAAAAGCTCTATGGATATTTAAAACTTGGCCCTTTGTGGGGGAGGTAGCAGAAGGAGTGGACCGATATATTTCATCTTCGCAGCAGATCTTGTGTTAGTAAAAATAATGGGATGTGTGAAATATAAAGAAAACCGGATACTTATTTCGGATTTTTTGTATAGTTTTGGTTATTCAAAACTTTGATCCTTTGTGGGGGAGGTACCCGAAGGAATGGTCCAATCCCTACCATCTTTATAACAGATCTTTTGTTGAAAGAAATATTGAGATCTACCAAGTCTGAATGGAATCGGATGTTAATTTCGCGTTTTAAGAGCTTCATGGATATTTAAAATTTTGACCCTTTGTGGGGGAGGTGCCAGAAGGAGTGGGGCGTTATATTCCGCTTTCATTTCAGATCTTGTTTAAGTTGGAATAATGGGATGTGTGGCTATTTCGGATTTTATAATCGTATTGGCGATTCAAAACTTTGACCCGTTGTGGTTGAAGTACCAAAAGAAATGGTTCGATCTCCACCATCTTTATAACAGATCTTGTGGTGATGGAAATATCGGAATGTGCAAAGTCTGAATGGAATCGAATGTTATATTTATATCATAAGCTTCATGGATATTCAAAATGTTGACCTCTTGTGGGGTAGGTACCAGAAGGAGTGGACCGATATATCCCATCTTTACAGCAGAACTTGGATTGATAGAAATATTGCGATGTGTGCAATTTAAAGAAAATCGGACTCTTTTATCACATTTTATAAGAGTTATAATTATTCATAATCATTTGCGGGAGGTACTTGATCGAGTAGACCGATGTTGTCCATTTTCTCACCTGACGTAGCACTGATGTAAATATTAAGAATCGAATTGTCCTCTCTCTTTCTGTGCAGTAAATATTTTTCGGAAAATTTAGAATTTTTTTGTGGGAGGTACTAGAAGGAGTGGATCGATATTGCCCATCTCCGAACTCGATCTAAGTTTGATAATAATATTATGATGTACCAAGTTTGGACCAAATCGGATACTCCCTTCGAGAGTTATCGTGCGCACCAGCCAGCAAAACAGATAGAAAGACATACGGACGGACATTGCTAAATCGACCCCAAATATCCTGAAACGTTTTGGCCGTATCAAATGATATATACCGTCTGCAGCCATACGGCCGAAGGTATAAACAAATGGAAATATTTTGTCGTTTTACTGGCAAATATTTCTTTGATATATAATGGAAATGGAGATTTCTTTTCATTGTAAACTCTAGTGAAATTCGATGAAGAATATTCTTATCTCTGACGTCATCCTTCTATAATCATGCTTTTTAGGAAAATTTTTGCATAAACTGACATGAGGTACAGCTTTAACCCTAAAATGTGTTTTTCATATTTTTGTATTCCTGGCATTAATCTAGAGTTTTGCTGGACCTATAGTAGAATTTTATGGCAAATAATTAATGTTGAATGCTTTGACTTGCTACGCTACTATTTAAAGGGAGTTTGTAACCATATTTTGCCAAAGGGACCAAAAAAGTTCCTTTTTTGTTTTTAAAGCTTCCGTAAGCCCCACTTTTTATCAGCGATTTTTTTTACATGAAAAAATGAATTTTTTTAATTTTTGCCAACATTCATATTCATTTGTTTACAATTCCGAAAAACTTTAAGTTAAGGATAAATACACATACAAATGTATGCATATGCATCGATCCAATTATAAATGGCCCTTTTTTGTTTTATAAATGTCAAATAAACAAACATCTTGATCATCATTATAGCCATTTTTTTGCCTCGTCTAATCAAATATTTGTACACAACCGAAAGCTTCTACATGGTTGTCATAAAATATGAATTCGAAAAGGAAAAAAAAAATAAACAAGAAAACGATTAATTTCTTATCGGAACAGCAAAGATAAGACTAAATGATAAGAAAAGAAGAAGCTTTTTTTGCTTCTTGTTTTATTCAATTCAAGTCTTGATTATTTTTTCATCATAGCCCTAAAGTATGCATGCAGAATTTTGGATATTTTCTAAATATTCGTTATTTATTCAAAATATAATAGGAAGCATTGTCTATATAAGGTCGGCCAGTAAGTCCAACAGACAACTATGTTTGCTGGCAAATACTAAGAGAGTCAAATCACAATATTTTTCACAGAATAATACTTACAAAACATGCTTCAGAATATTTTGGAAAAATTACCTGAAAATAATAAAAAAAAATAAGTATTATTAATTATTATAAACAGTTCGATTTTAGAAAAATAATATGTAGTTTCAATACATTAGTTAAGTATCGTAAAAATGGTTTTGAATTATATCGAAGCTCACTATGTTACTACCAACTTAACCACTATAATTTAGAGCTTGTAGAGATTTTGACACATGACCCAAACGCCGAAATGTAGGGCATTTTAAGACCACTGTAAGACCAATATTGTGTGAAGTTCACAATATTCACCGATTTAAGGGAGAAAAATAAATAGATCACTATTACATAAAAAACAAGTAAAACCAGTAAAGAAAGTCTTAAAGTCGGGCAGGGCCGAATTTATGATACCTTACACCACTTTGCCAATTTAGTAGAGCTCCGCATAACAATTAAAAGTTCATACACGCTATGATTATAATTTAAAGTTCAAAGGACTGAATATGCCGAAGCATTTGTATCTTTTAAATTCGGACTTGTATTACCCATTCGGTGCACAATTAACTTGAAATCGGATAAAGATATATATGGGAGCTATATCCAAATCTGAACCGATCTCGATAAAATTTGGCAAAGATATTTCTGAGCTGTATTTGATATATTTCCCTGAAAATCTTCATACGGAGTGCATATTATAGCTGTGGGTAACAAATATAACAAATCGGATGAAGAGTATTTATGGGAGCTATAGCTATATCTGAACCGATCTTCACCAAATTTAACATACTAGCATCTGGACTCAATTCGGTCGTAAGTGCCAAATTTCATCCCATTTGGGCAAATACTAGACGTTAGGTGTACAACCAAAAGTAAATCGGACGAAGTTATATATGGGAGCTATATCCAAATCTGAACCGATCTCGATAAAATTTAGCAAATGTATTTCTGAGTTGTATTTAATATATATTTCCCCAAATATTGTTGTTACAGAGTGCATATTACGGCTGCGGAGGACTAAAATAACAAATCGGATGAACAATGTATAGTGGAGCTATAGCTATATCTGAACCGATTTCGATCAAATTTGGTATACTTATTTTCAGGCCTAATTTGGTTGTATGTGCAAAATTCCATACTATTTGGGCTAATATTACACGTTTGGTGCACAATAAAAGGCAAATTGGACGAAGATATATATGGGAGCTATATCTAAATTTTTACCGATTATCTCCAATTTTAATAGGGTTCGTCCTTAGGACAAACAAATGATTTGTGCAAAATTTCATCTGGATAGGACAATAAATGCGAACTGTACTTTGTTTACAAAAATACATGGACAGACGGACGGACGGACATGCATAAATCGACTCAGAATGTGAATTTATCAGATCATCAAAGGGAACTATGGGTCTATCTCGTTACCTTTTGACTGTTGTAAACAAATGCAAAAAGACATAATACCCTGACCACCTTGTGGTGTAGGGTATAAAAGCAGTACGTTCAGCCCGGCCAAACTTTGAATACCCTCCACTATTTGAAACGAATTTGGAAATTTTTCATAAAAAAAAAAAAATCCGTTAAAAATTCTGTTAAAATCTTAAAAATACCGAATATAGCCGTTGTATTAGGGTCTATACGAAGACGTGGACCTGCTTAGGCAGCGAAACTTGAAAAAAGAATCCAGTCAATAAAGCAGCTAAAGTCATCCAAATACCGAATATATGGAGGTACAGTTATATCGGTGCTATACGAAGATCTGGACCATAGACAATTTTCTCTTACAGGCTTTAGTACCTATAAGGAGTTTCAAACACGGAATTTCATAAAAATTTTGGTGAATATTGTATCTAAAATCGTCAAAATACCGAATATAGGAAGGTACTGATATCTGGGGCCTTTACGAAGACCAGGACCAGCTTAGACTATTTTCTGTCATAGACTGTAGTTCCCATTACAAACTCTAAATACGAAATTTGAAACAACTACAGGGTTGCTCATATTCGACGGACCTATGACCCTTTGGGCCCATTCCAATCGACGAGGCTTGTCCGCAGGCAACATTCTTTGCGTCAATTGAATTTTGTACGCAAATCAAGGCGAATAATCCGTTGTAAAGTGGACCGAGCCATGCCCAACTGCTGAGAACGGCGTTTTTGGGATGTTCTTGGGGACCTCTCAACACTGGCTCGTACGGCAGCGATATTCTCGGCCGATCGCCTTGGTCGATTTTTATATGGCCTCTTCGGATTAGAAAGAGCCTTACCAGTCGAAAATTTTTCGTATAAACGCTTAATGGTGTTCTTAGAAGGCGCACTTCTCACATTTTTTTAAAAGTTGAGTTTTCACAATTGACTTCTTCTGTTGAATGTAAATTTCAACTATTTCACGTGGCGTGTATTGGTTCATGGTAAAAATCTGCTTGGACTGACGCTTCAAACGCGGTATGTCATTAAGCGATGTGACATCTCTGTCAAAAGTTATGGCGTTGCCAGATGGGTCCGCCGAATATGGACAACCCAGTACAGTGAATAATATCCCTAAAATCATCAATATACCGAATATTGGGCGGTACCGTTGTATGCAGGCTATACGAACACGTGGACCGGCACAGACAATTTTCTGTCGTAGGCTGTAGTATTTATTACGAACTTCAAATACCAAAATTTGAAACAACTCCAGTGATATGGCGTACCTATATAGAGACATTTCTATTCCAAATCACAAACTACTCAGAAAGAACTACTTGTGTAGAATTTCAGACAATTCCATTGAAAAATGTGGCTAAAATCATAAAAATACCGAATATTGGGAGGTACCGTTATATGGAGGCGTTGTATAGGGGATATACTATATCTTGGGCCTATGCAGATAATACTCTTCCAGGGGGTAAATTACTCAAAAGGAACTCCCTTCGTGGATTTTCCGGCAATTTCATTGAAAAGACTGGCTACAATAATCGAAATACGGAATATCAGGAGGTACAGTTATTTGGGGGCTATACGATATCGTGGACCGATATAGCTCATCTTCAAACTTGACCTGCCTGCAGACAAAAGACTGATGTGTGCATAATTTTAGCATACTATCTTTATTCGTTATGACACTAGCGTGATTACAACAAACGAATGGACGGACAGAGCCACGTCTTCTTAGAATTTTACGCTGATCAAGAATATATATACTTTGTTAGGTCTAAAATTATTATGGAATACTTCGATCGACTATCGGGAACCTTACACACATTTTACCATTTTCTAAAAATTATAACATGTCTCATGTAAAGTGAATGAAGTAACAAATATAGTCCAATCCTGACACATCCCAATATTTATATCATATTTATTTAAGTCCGACACGAAATAAACAATATTCGCCTATTCCTTCGGAACCTACTCCAAGGAGGGTCAACAATGTGAATAATCATAACAGATGTCAAAATATATTTAAATAATCGAATATTGGCTAATGGTATGGATCTGTCGGCCAAACCGACTGATACTTTTTAACTTGTTTTAGCTCTGCTTTCATAATTTGCTGGATTTTTGCTGTTATTATTTTTTGTGTTGCACTGTGTAATGGGGGTTAATCCGGGGGAGACTTACACCAAAAAAGAGACTTCCTCAAAAAAAAAAAAGAAAAAAAATCATTAACTTATTTTGAAGACAAATTCATTGGTCAACTCTTGGAATATTTTTTCTTTTTTTGAAATATTTTTTTATGAGAATTTAATTATTTTATGTTCCTTTATCGAAAACCACAAAAAATTTAAGAAAAATATTAGGTTTCAGTAGCCATTGGAGCAATAAATAGAACAAAAAAACAACACGTTTGCTTCATTAATTATGAGCTTGTAAAAAATAGTTTATTAATCAATAATGATGCAGCAACAAAGCTAAAGTGGAACACACAAAGCGAAACCTTTGACTCCATCTCCCTTTGAATCGAAGAGAACCATAAACGAAAACTTGTTTTTATCACTTCTCCCATTTACATATCATTGCAATAACTGTCATCGTGTCAATTTTCTAATTTGTTATTTAAATATTTTCTTTTTTTTTCTTAAATTTTATTATACAATAAAAACGCAAGAAATTTTGTGGTCGATTAGAATTGGTGGTTTGGCCACACAGACAACACACGCGGGCACGCATGCGCACCTTCTCTGGGCAGAGTTGAAAACACAGTTCTCAGGTAACTTTTTGGATGGAGAGAAATAAATGAGGTCTAAATTTGAAATTCTAAACATGTCATTCCACAAGACAAACAAATGTATAAAAATCATAACTCGTTGTGGTACTTGTTGTTGTTGTTGTCACTGTGTGTGTGTGAAGGAATTCTTTTCTGCTGGCCTAAACAACAGACCCGCCAAAAAAAGAATAAAATATTAAAAATTCATTAAATGCAAATAAATCATAAAATTGATAGTTAAAAATAATAGAGGTAAGAAATTACCTCATCATCGTTAAAACTAAAATGTGTCATTAGTTGGTTAATATTATTCATGGTTTATATATAGTCATATATTACTATTAAACAAATGTCCGTATATGAACGATAGTGTGTCACCCCTATTCCACGTAATTATTTGTTAATAAAAAACACTCACCTCAAACTATTGCATTTTTAATTGCCCCGGCAAATTATGGCAAAAAAGTATTTGGATATTTTTTCACAAAACCATAAAATTGACGACAAACAGATACGAATCAGCTGAACAAAGTTTAAATGCATACAAAGCTATTATTTCACATATTTTTAAATAGCCTAACAACAAATAAAAAATTGCAAATATTTATCTGATAAAAAGTGAATATTGACTTTTCACACCAAATTTTTCAGGGGTGGGGGATAGGAATAGGAGGCGAATGGATAACTGTCAGAAAAAATAATCGTCATCAAATGACAAAGATGTGAAGCATTACGGAAAGTCGACAATTCAAGGGGACCCTAGAGAAAACGGAACATTAATATCGGTAGAAAGAAACGCAACAATTCCAATATTTCAATACATAATCTATAAAAAAAAATAGTAAAGAAAGTCTTAAAGTCAGTTG